CTAATATCGTAATTAGTAGATATACAAAGCGATGCAAGAATATATAATATAAGTAATTAATTTATATTATTTAATATATTCTTATTTATTTACGTTGTGTATTAATCACTAATGAAGTTTTATAGTCTGCGTATGAGCCTTAAAAATAATCTATTAAGGACCCCAAAAATGTATTATTCATTTTAGATCCTTACAAACTTTTTGAAGTATTTCAAAAATTGAACTTTTCAGAACTTTAAAAAGTATACTATTGAGATAGTCATTTGAAATTTTAAAAAGTCTTAAAATGTTATGAGATATTTAATTTATTTATCACTTGAATTTGTCTGGATTTTGTAAGATTTACATAAATTTGAAAAAGAAAAACTATATTAATTCAAAATATCGCTTCGAATCGCACTTTCAGACATAAGATTTTCAAAGATTACTCTTAAATCTTAAAATATCTCATATTATTAAAAAAGTTTTAAAATGTTATACAAAATTTCAAACAAATATATCCTCCTAGAGCTATCAACTTAAGGCTTTAGTTATATAAGTTTGAGACTAGAAAGATGATTCAACTATCAATCTAGGCCTCATATTATATTTTTTATTTATAATTTTTATGTTTTATACTTGATGTGACATACAATTATTTTATATATTTTTAATCTATTTTAAGTTTTTATTTATATTTTGATATCTTTATTTATATTCTGGAGAATTATATTAAAAGTCTTAAATTAATAGTTTAAGATATTCGATACACTAAATCTTTCAGGAATACAATCGATATATCCGATGATCTCATGTCTTCGTTACATGCAACGACGAATCTAGAATTATATTTAAAAACATATGATTACACAAAAAAAAAAAATTAAAAAAATCAATATTAAAAATGTAACAATTCAACTATATAATGAGTTTTATAAATCACTAAATTAATTTATAATTAAGAGACCGAAAGAGTTAATTATTATTAATATTTTCAAAAATTTATTTATAAATGTAAAATATAAAGTTTGTTATATTTTTGCAATAAATAAATAGTATTATTAATTTAAATTAAAGTAGAATAGAAAATAAGTTTTAATTATTAATATAGTGTAAATAATTTTTACATTTCTATATATATATATATATTCATTTCTTTTAAAAAAAATCAGGGGGGTCGGGCCCCCTGGCTCCATACACAGTGACGGATCCAGAAATTTCACACAGGGAGGCCCGATTTTAAATGTTAAATAACGAGCTTGTAGTTTAAATCGAAACACTCAGTTCATATAAAAATGTATTTACTATAAATGTAAATATTTTTACATGTACCATCAAGTTTTCTAAAACTTAGAATCCGTATCATAATCAAACTTTTTAAAAAAATAAACAAAAAATATATATATATTTCATGTATTTAAAATTTTAGTTCAACACCTATAATTTGTGGAAAAATAAGTTTTTTTTGTTGAAATTAAGATTTAAATTGAACTTTTACACAACATTCCATAACATTTTTAATGACGAAAGTTTATCTAATGAATTTTTTTTAAGAAAAAATAAATAAAGTTAGAAATATGTGATTACAAAAAAAAAGAGTAAAAAATCAACATTAAAAAAAGTAACATCCAAATAATAAATACTCGGTTTTATAAATCACTAAATCGGATTACAATTAAGAGATCGGAATAGTAAATCATTATAAAAATTTCAAAAGCTTATCTAAAAATTTAAAATATAAGATTATTAGTATATTTTTTAATAAATAAATAATAATATTTATTTAAATAAAATTAGCATAGGAAATAAGTTTTAATTAGTAATATATTATAAACATTTTTTACATTTCTGTACATATTTATAGTGCTTTTTTATTTTTTTATTGATTTTTAATAAGTTTTAAATATTAATATATTGTAAATAATTTTTTTGTATTTTTATACATATTTTATTGTATCTATATAAATATATTGATGTTTTTTAAATGAGGGGGCCCACCCCTGAACCCCATGTGGCTCCGTCATTGCCCATACAGATCCGTCTCTGGACTTACATGAGTGGCCGTTACACTTCGAAAAGTTTGCAAACTTCCCATGTGTTCGTGCAAAATGAAGCCTTGATTTGAGGACACCCTCTATAGTTATAATTCAGTTTTCCTTTTTTTTTTTTTTNAAAAAAGTAAACAATAAAAATATATTATGAGCAATATCGGTAGACAAGTGGCAAATAAAAAATAATTATTTTTTTTTATGAAAAAATATTACAGGCATGTTCCGAAGGTAAGTGACCAATAAATAATAAATAATTTCGAGTAGGGAAAAAAATCGAATTTTCCGATACAGAACCGGACCGAAATGGTCCCGCTTCAAAAAATAAGATTCCAAAAGTTATTCTTTATTTTTGTATCGTTCTTGATATCGAACCGTTTTAAGCAATATCGGTATCGGTTTTAAATATTTTTGTCAAAAACCGTCCCGTTTGTTTCATTTGATTAGTTTGTACGAAATATATATATATAAATTGGTTCCAATGCATCCGCTTATTTAAAGTGTGGACGTGAGACTCATTTTTAGCCACAAGATTTGGTACATCAGGTGTGGCCAAGATTTACTCTTTTCTTTTTATTATTTTAATTATTTAAATATTATTTTGACCCGTTGACTCCGGCGTTGACCGTTGACTTCCGGCATTGATTGTTGACAACTAACCTTCCAACTAGGTTAGTTCTCTGTAGTTGCTAGGTTAGTTCTATGTAGTTGTTATGCTAGTTGTCTGTAGTTGCTAGGTTAGTTCTCTGTAGTTGTTAGATTAGTAGTTGCTAGGTTCTTTCCCCGGAAGGACGGGGGATTGGGCTGGACCCCAACCTGTGCATAGATCAAGACCCCAAAACGGGGGTCCAACAAATCAACAGTCTATAGTCTACAGAGTCTCAAAAGCAAAACAACAAAGAAATAACAAAACAAAGTCTGTCTTCGGGGTAACAGATGCCCGGGTTAGTAGGTTAGTTGTTAGGTTAGTTCTCTCTAATTGTTAGGTTAGTTCTCTGTAGTTGCTAGGTTAGTTCTCTGTAGTTGCTAGTTTTTTTTTTAAACAACGCCCCGGAAGGGCGGGGGATTGGGCTGGATCCCCGACCTGTGCATAGATCAGGACCCCAAAAC